GGTACCATTACTGTATTGTGCTATGTCACTGAATACCGCAAGAATTCTGCTAATAACCTTTTTATAGCAGATGCTTCAGGAATCATTCGTTCCCGAAGTTTAGATTCGTCCTTAAAAATTTTTTTGAAAGGATTTTATCTTCAAAATACGTCTCAAGAATTAAACCTTCCTACGTTTGAAAAAGAAGACGTGCTTTTGGTAACTGGAAAATTTCGTATTATTGACCATATAGAAGACGGTAATAAAGTTCCTGCCCTGAAAGTAAGTTAAATATCAATCGACATCTTTATTCATCAGCTCGTATGATGTATACGAAAGAAAAAAAAAAACCAATAATTTTTTACCTTATTTTTTAAAATACAATAAATAATGTAAAAGATGATCTTAAACGACCTTGTTCCCATTAAATTGGATCCAAATAATGTTCCAAGTTTTCCAATATTGGTTAATATGACCGCAGTAGTAGATGATCCTCCCGTCATTAGTGATGATAAAGACGTTACGATGTCTGTCGTAATGCATGACCATGTAGACCAAGAACCAATAAAAATTCCAATCGAATGCTATTATTCAGCTCTTGCTCCGCATTTAATGCGTATAACTGAAATTATTAAAAAAAACTCGGTCCTTTATATTAATGGTGAACTTATATTATATGATAATACTAATTATGTCCATGTTAAATCTTTATCCTTTCCAGAAGGACAAAAAAAAGAATCTAAAACTTCTGCAAAACCCCCGTGGGAATCTGATAATTCAAGCGAATCAAGTAAACCATCTGCTGCTAAAACAATAGCAGCAAGAGTGAAAAATAGTAACAGATGAAATAAAGAACCAACCTCTTCTACGACTAACCCTTATCCTCAAGCTAATGATCGTCGAAAGGTAACAGATCTAGCAAAAGAAGCTTTGGCCAATTCAAATAAATCAAGCGCATCTACCTCAGCACCTGCTAATACTTGAATTAAGTATAAACAAGGTTATGACAAAAATTTGATAAAATCTCAGAAAATAAAAAATATTAATTGACTTTGATTTAGCTAGCTAAGCCAAATTTTAAATATTGACTTAGTCAAGTCAATAAATAAGAATCAACTACAAGTACTAGTTAAAAATATACTTTATCAAATATATATTACTAAAAAAGCTTACTATACAAAAATAACGAAACATATAACCCAAAGCTAATTTTTTTTGATATTTAAGATAATACTTTGCTCTTATCTTTATTAAACTTAATAATAACTTTTTATATAATTAGAAAAGATTTTATATTTTAAATCTAGTACTAAGAATAAGAATTCAAATATATAACTAGAAGAACAAATAATTTAAAAACTTATTTGTGGCTTAAACTACCAAAGTAGCCAAAGCTTATCTAGATTTGGGATAAGTTAAAAATATATAATAGATATATATAATATTTGATTTAATTAAAATACCAAGAAGATATTTTTAAAGAAAATATTTGTTGAGTAGTATTAGAAGTATCAGAAACAAAAAGTGTGTTGTGAAGTAATCCAGATAGAAGAAGTAGCTAAGATTGTAAAAGTTGAGGCTGGGGTTTGAAACTGTAATATGAAATTCAAATATCTAAAAACAGTTATTTGTTGATAAAAAGAAGTTAAATAGAAATTAAAATAGCTAGTTGATTGAATATAGTAAATTTATATATTGTATATATAATATCAAGTGGAATAAGGCCAAAAAGCATAGAGAAGATAGACAGTTTGTCAAAAGAGTTGTAGATTTAAAAACTATCAAGATTGACAATTTGGTTGTATAGTTGATTGATTTAAAATAGAGAAATTTGAAGTTTGTGAATAGTTAAAATTTGTTGTAATAAGTTTTGTATAAGTGTATAAAGGGGGTTTTGAGAAGGACATATAGCCCAGTGTAGTATAGTACTTGTTTGCTAGCATATATTACAGATACTAGAGTAAAGAAATTTTTTTTTAATGGCGATATACGTAGAGACAAGTAGCCTAGATAAAGTCAATCTCAAGTATTTTTTTTTAGGTAATTAATAATAAATCAGGACTCAGCCTTTCGAAAATCCGATCAACTTACCCGAAAAAAGTGGCTCTAAACAATAAATTTAAAGAAACCCGATGATCAACAAATCAATTCGTTGCGCTTCTCTCGAAACGTTCTTTGGCGATCAGTGATTATCAAACCATCGCACCGGCAAAAATTCAGAAGAAAAAAACACAAAATCATTAAAAAAAATTGAAATCTACATAACAACTATAAACCGGGGCAATCACACACGTACAAAATTGACGAAATATTATTGAGATTTAACTTTTTCGAACGAATCAAAGAAATTTTTTTTTTTTTTTTTTTTTTTTTTGCTGCTAGCATAGTATCGTAGTTCGAATCGTACACGAAGCATAAAACATGTTAAGAAAACATGTTATAAAAATGGCAGATGAAAAAATTTCCTTTTATAGATTTAGAGGAAATTTTGGTTGACGATCTTATGCACAAATGAGATACAAGGCAAGAAAATCAGCACACACACAGT